AACACGGAGACCCCCCCCCCCCCAACAGGAGACCCCCCTCCCCCTCCCATGCTGGGGGCTCACTCCCCCCACCCACCCCACTATGCTCTGGGGGAGACACCCACACACCCAAGAAGGTGCCCCCCACCCAGCCCCAGTGAGGAACAGGGCACACACCACAGGCTCCACCCACAGCGGCCGCCTCCCCAGCAGTGCAGCTCTGTGGAGCCACGTCACGCCCTGGTCAGCGCACGTCTGTCACGCCGCCGAACACGCGTGGAGGATGGGCCTGCTCGACGGGCACCGCGCCTCGGCCCCCCGGGCACCGCGCCTCTCTTCCCCTGGCGTCACCTCCCAGCCACGCTCAGAGGGGAGTGTGGTGCCCGGTCAGAGCAGGCGAGGACCCCATTCACCCAGAGACCCCCCCCAAATCTCCTTCCCCCACCCACCACACACAAGCACAGGGCTCAGAGCTGCAATCCCCAGCCAACATGGCCGGAGTTTTTTCCCACAGAGCATTACCAGCAGCAAATCCTGCCTTGCTAGAGCCTGGCTTGAATGACCCCCAACCACCATCTTACCCACAGCGACTCAGGAGGGGCAGCAAGCCCAGCCCAGGACGTCAAGTCCCTGATCAATCCCTGAAGCCAGGCAGACCCAAGTTGGATGGCACACGGGCAAGGGTCTCAGCCCTTACACAGCAAGGCCCTGCCTCGCCACAAAGACGCCGCCGGCGTTGCAGGGCCCTGGGCAGACTGCTCGTGTTTGCTGGGAGCTGTTCCAAAGCGGCACTGGGGAAAGGAGATAGCCGTGCTCTCATGGAGTGCATTGGAGAGCAGGACGGGGAAATTCAGGCATGAGAGATGCCATGTTTTCCTTTGGGAATTTTCCCCATTTGTTTGGGGGGAAGGGCATTATACACATCTGGGAGGGGGGGGGGGCACATACACGTGTGACAGGGAGGTTCCAGCCAAGGTAGCCAAGGCCTGTAGGGGTCTCAGGGGACGAGAAAGCGCTAAAGCCATTTGCCATCCGTGAGCATTAGCAGGAGGAGCAAGGCAGGACCCTGGGAGAAAGACTCCAGAGAGATGATCCCCACCAGGGCTCCAAGCCCCCACATTGGGGATCACCTCCTCTAATCACCCCTTAAGTCTTCCTGCTGGCAGCCCCACAGGCCCTCAACACCCTGCAGCAAAGGGACTGCATGCTTACCTTCCAGGAGACAGGCTGGTTCCACCCAGCCCTGCTCCTTGCCCAGGCTCCACCTGCAGGAACTGGTTTAGCAGGTGGGTTGGCTGCAGAGTCTGCTTTTAAGGGGAGCCAGCTGGGGCGCGTTGGCTGTGGGGGAGGCAGCGCTCCCTGGGGGAAGGGAGGGCAGTGCTGTGCTGTGCTGTGGATGGAGCCCAATGGAGAAGGTGGATATTGTTTGGTGTGGCTTAATTTGCCATTCCTAATAAATGGGAGTCTGAAGGAAAAGTATCTCCTCTGTAAAACGTATTCAGTCAGCTCTTCCTGGCTAGTCCTTCACAACCACAGAGCCCTTTGCCAGCCGGTAAACTGACAAGTAACTCTCCTAGCCTAGCCCCGAAGGGGCAGGTCTGTAAGTGTCATCGGCCCCATTACACAGAGCAGCAAACTGAGGCACAGGGAGGGGAAATGACTTGCCCGAGCCTAGAGCCAGAACTAAAGCTCGGGCATTCGTGGGTCCCAGAGCTGGGCTCTGCCCCTGAGGCCAGGCCAGCAACCTCTGACAGCTGCACCATATTCTACAGTAACAGCCCAGCACACGGCAGTGTCCCAACTGCAGGAGTCTGGCCCATCACCCGGGTGTACTGTAGCAGCTTTAATAAGGGTCAAGTGGGGAATATTAAAGCGCAAAGCCCGGTGGTGACTGGGAGGTGAGGAAGGCCTGCTCCGAAGGACACTGTGCCATGGGAGCCACGCAGCCCTCAGAGAAGGACCTGGGAGGTTGGGTCGCTGGTTGAGGAAAAAAACACGTCCTTCTGAGGGAGGCTGACCTTGTGGTTAAGCCACAGGACTGGGAGTCAGGAGACCTGAGTTCCCAGCTCTGCCCCGATTCACCACATGACCTCGAGCCAGCCACTTTCCCCTCTGTCCCCCGCCCTCTGCAGCTGTGGAACCGTGGCCTCCCACACAGGGAACTAGGAGCCTGCCCTGGTTAACGTTAGTGAGGCAGGTTGAACTCCGGGGATGGCAAGGGCTGTGGCAGGGCAAAGGGTTGTCCTGGTGTTATGAGATCATCACCCCACGCATTAATAAATAAACTGGTGTGACTGTCGCCAGCATCTGGCTTTCCACCCGAAAGCCTCTGCCCGTATCACAGGTGCCAGGAGGATGGCTTTCCCAGCAGTCCACAGCCCGGAGCCCTATGGCTTCAGTGATACCGGTTGGACTGGCTGTTTGAGGCAGTGCTCTGAGTTGCCTGGTGAAGCCATTCTCCCCTCCATCCAGTACAGTTGCATGAAGGGGGAATCTTCTCCCAGCTCCAATCCTGTTTCTGGAGAAACTCCCCGAGTCACAGCGCCAGTGCAGCTCTGCAGGCGCCCTCAGAGCACAGGGCCCCAGGCAGTTGTCTGGGCCTAGGGCTGGCCCCAGCACAACACCACAAAGTCATTCATTGTTGTGTCCATTAGTAGACGAGGCTGATAGCACCAGACGTGCAAAGCCTCCACATTAATCCATAGCCTGTCTCGCAAGCCACCTGTGGGCAACGCCGCCCATGTTAGAGGGTTAGGACGGAGAAGGAAGCCATTTCCAGTATCCAGGAAAAGCTAAACCCATTTAGGAGAACTATAATTTTTTTATCTAGCAGCAGCAAGTTCTCCCTAGGACTGCTGGCCCCAAATCTCTCCTCCTTCCCTACCACTGCCCTGCCAATGTAAATCAAACTTCCCACTCTACACCAGCATGTTCCCTTACTGCCGCCCAGACTGCCTCTCCCCCTGCCGGTCTCACTGAGTCGCACGTCAGGTGTGGTGTGGAGGTCAGTCTAACCCAGGTACCGGCCAAGATCGATTTTCTGTGCCTCGGGGTTTGGGTGCCCAACTCGAGGCCCGGTTTTATACAGCGCTGAGCATTCGCTCTCTGAAAATCAGGCCCTTTTAAGGAGTCTCAATTTGGGCCCCCCAAGTCACTTTAAAATCTTGGCCATCACATGTGGTGTCCACCCGGATTGTACCCACCAGCGCACACGCAGCCCTTCACTGAGATGCTCATGACACTCGCTGTCCCCTTCACAGCAGCCAGCTGCAAAACGCGCTCCCTGTGAGCATGCTCCCTGACTGTGAAAGAAGGGGGGAGACAGCACCAGAGCCTCCTGTGAGCATCCAGACGGACAAGCGCCCGAACGGAACACGTTGTGCATTAAGCAGTGTTCTCCATCCTGACTGGGTTACTACTGGTTAGTAACCTGCAGATTCCACGTAACGTTGTGTTCTGGTTTCCCCATCACTGACTCTTGGTGAACTTTTTGTTATCCCAACTAAATCAATTCCCACTGACCGCTTCCTGGCCAACCCTGCAGCGTAGAGAACAGCAGCTTGGCTTCGCTGTGTATTGGGACAGAGGACGGAGGTAAGGGACAGCTCTAACTCACCAGCGCAGCTGCAAGAAGATGCTCCTTCACTAGCTCCCATTTCTTGCCGTCAGTTTGTTTGGGTCTTGAACAGCTCCTGAGCGGGAGGATGGGAGGAAGAAGAGAGAAAACCCAACTGCATTTGTAGTCCTGCGCGGTCCAGCACTGCAGGAGCGACAGGGCTGGGAAATACTGCAATAAAACCGAGAGTCTGTGGGGATGCACAGAAGCCTGGTTACAAATAGGTGAGAGAAATGCATCTGTGCCACCTGCTGGAGAAACCTAGCTAGCCTTCCCCTCACTGCCCAGAGGAGCCGGCCTCTCACTGAGCGGTGGAGCAGCCGTCTCCCCACGGGTAGGCTCCCAGCCCACACTGGAGATGTTATCGTCTGTCCCCACTGTTGGGAGGGTAACGGACGCTTTCTTCTGAGAAGGGCAAAGATCCAGGTCCTCTGCAAGGCCCCAAACCCCAAGGTGACCCCACTGAGAAGATGATCGCTAGTGTTATGAATGACTAGGATGTGTATTCCCATAGCACCTAGGAGACCCAGGGATGGACAAATACAGAACAAAAGGACAGTCCCTGCCCAAAGAGCTTAAATGGAAGGATAAGACACGAGACAACAGCTGGGTACAGAGCGACCCGGGGGAGCACGAGGGAACACTGGTCAGCCTGGCACGCAGTGTCTGAGCACACCAGCAGCCGAGCCACCCTCCAGCTTCCTGTAAGCTCCCTGGCAAAGGGGAGTTTTCGGGGGGGGGGGGTGAAGTAGGACGATGAGGTACTTTTGCGGATGTTTACGGGGCAGCACGGGAGAAAGCACAAAGGGGCTCGTCTGAAAAATGTAACGAGAGCGATGGAGGCTGGATGAGCTGGGTAAAACCTTGTTAAGGGTTGAGTGAAAACCTCATTCGAACGGATGTGTGAATATGCCCTTCATTTCAAATACCTGGGAGAGGGGTTAAGGGGCCACACCTAACACAGGGCCTCTTCCAGTCTGTCCAGAAACTAGCACCATGCAGGCAGGGGAGCCCAGTGGGTAGTGTGACCGGGGTGCTTGAACGGGGGGCCAGTGGGCCATGGTCCCATCACTTTTTACAGGCCATAAGGATGAGCGATGGGGGGCAGAGAGACGTAAGGGGGGGCGAGGTCTTGGAGGAAGGGACAATGCGAGGGCAGGAGCTCAGGGGGAAGGGGTGGCACAGGGGCAGAGGGTTGGGGGGAAGGGGCAACGTGGGGGGTGGGGCCAAGGTTCGGGCGCCGGTGGCCCCCACACTTTTAGGGAGCGTCCGTCACGCCTGATTGTGACCAGGTGTGTGTGTGAAGACACAGAAACGGAGACCAGGCAGGAACAGCGGGAGAGGTAGAAAGCGAGAACACCGAGCAGCAGCCTCTGAGCACAGCATGACCTTGGCAAACGGATTCCTGTCCATCTCCAGACCCCCCCTCCCCCCGGGGAGTGACGATTGCTCTAGAAGGGACACGATGCTCTGGAGCCAGGGCAGCATGGGGGCTGGGGGGCAGCGTTCCAACCCAGCTTGTTACACGTCCGTTCTAGAATGCTGCCTCTAGAACACTCATCCTTCTCCCATCTCTGTGGACACTTCTCCATCCCGTGACCTTGCCCTGCGCCACTGAGCCCTCGGGGGCCAAACTGAAAGATGGGAAGGGCAACGCGCTAGGAGACCCCAGTGCTTTGCGTTTCTCCTTTGTCCTTCACCCTCCTGGGGAGCGAAGAGTCATATTTGGACTCTGGTCCCTGTGGCGTTCCCTCCAGCCCCAGTGCAATCACCGTCCCCACGCCCGCCCCAGCAGGATCGCTCTGCTGCCCTTGCTTTCGCGAGCCTGGGTGGAGCCAAGAACGCGCATTGGGCGCCATGAAAAGCTGCGCTAAGCGAGAGGCGGACAGGAAGACTTTCCTGGAACAGGTGCGTGAGAGCAAGGAGAATGGCTACCTCCTCTCCTCCAGGAAGATTGGCTCTGGGGCCTTCTCCAAAGTCTACCTGGGCTACGCCACCCAAGAGAAGCTAAAACAGAACTACAAGCTGGCCTCAGACCTTCGGAGCAAGCGGCACGCCATGGTGAGGACTGCAGGGCCTGGGGGCACAAGGCTGGGAAACGCCAGGGAACCAGCGGGAAAAGGAGCTCAGTCACTGAGCATACGATACCCCTGGGGGCTCTGCAGGATAAGGCACCGCCCCAGTCCTGCTCTCAGCTCAGAGGTGCAGCGAGTTTGGGGGCACGGATCCATGGGATGTGACCAGCCAGTCTGGTTGCTCGGGAGAAGCCCAGTCCTGGATAGCAAGGGGTGCTGTGCTCCTGGAGGGTGGGATATTGGCAGAGCCGTGCAGGGGGTGAGCCCCTGGGAAACCAGGGATGTAACTTACACGCCAAGCCGGCCGGGTGATGGCTGGCATGTGTCTAGGTGGTTCCGTCTGTTTCTTAGGCTCAAAGAAGTCGAAGGGAGTCTGGTGCCTGGAGCAGCAGCTGGGAGACTGAGTCTCCTGGATGCCCTGGGCAAATTCCATCCCCAAATATTAGCTCTCTGAGCTGGGCCGAGTCCCACTTCCTGTTCCAAGCCCTGTCCCTCGCTGTGCCGGCCGTGCCGAGCCTCATGCTCCCTGGTCAGGATTTTACCCCG